TCCGCCAATTGCCGATTCAAGTGGCGGTCAACGTTTTATTTTACGAACTTACAAATCCAATTTGGGAAGATCCATACGTTAGATTTCCAATCCGTAAGTTTCTATTATCCTCAAATATTAAATACCATAATATATTAAAATTTGGTGACGATCCAACGGTTGGATCGTCAATTCATGCAACGACCCCTTAATGGCCAACTAGGTGGTCAACTATGAAACTATATTAAACATTATAATTTCACTAAACGGATGTTAAATATTGAATCGGGGCTTCAAAATTAGCCTAGGAAGGTCAGGTGAAGTCTCGGCCCACGCGCCGCCGCGAGTGATGGCCAGCCGCTATGGTTCGCCGGAAAATTCTATTATTTCTAAAAATTGCCAAATTTCACAGAAATAAATATCTCAGTGAGTGGAGCAACTTTCATACCTGTGACCAAGGCCAATTTGGCCGGGAAAATTCCTAATTCCACAAAAATCCGCTGGAAACCCTATAAAGAGTGTGCTTTGATTCTTCCCCCTCGATGTTACGTCACCCCTAAAACCTATTGGGCTTTGTTCAAGAGTTCAAGGAGAGTATTGGTAGTGATAATTAAATGAAATTGTTTCAGGTTTGGTGGATCTCGGCCAAGGATCTTCACGGCACCTATAGTTCCATCGGGATGGTTTCCTCCAATTACAACCAAATTCACTATAATCTTAGGTGGAAAAGTAAGAGGAAGGATAGTGGAATGTTTTCCAGGTGATGAATGGCGACAATTCATATGAAAAATCGCCTGCAAAGGCGTCAGAAAAATGTGGAGGAATCGGGTTGGGCACTGGTCAAGAAGAACCCGGCGGGTTCTCTCCTTCTTCTCTTCTTTCCCTCCTTTCTCTCCTCTCTGATTGGTCAGTCTCTTCTCTCTACTCTCCTCCAATTGGTAATGGCCCTCTTTTTCCTCCCTTCCCTTTCTTCTTCATTCCCTTCTTCTTTTTTTTCCTCTCAACCACACACATGTGGCATCATAAATTAGTGATATAAAATAATATAATACAATTAAAATAGTGATTCCTTTAACATGCCATCGAATTCGTAGCTCCGTAAAACTTTAACCGTAGCTCCATAATCGCTTCTACTTGCGCCTACGCGTCTATATCATCGAGTACTTCAGGAATACACTAAAAGAATATTTCGTACATCTCACTAAGCGTTGGTCAATGAAAGTCAAAACTTCGCCTCTAGGGCATTTTCGTAAATACACACTTTTAAAATTAAGAAAATTTTAAAGGCAGGGACGGGTTGTCACAGTTGATCTAGGAATCGGATGGCCCATATATTGCCACGTCACTAGCCTTTGGGTTTGAAATTCAAAATTTTTTTACCGTTGCAAATCCAACAATTCAGAAAACTAGCCGTTGGAAATCCAACAGTTGAAGACGTGTCACGTGGCCCAGGTCCCACGCCCTTTTAGTGATCCTACAATGTGGGGTCCGCCATCTGTCAGATGTTTGGAACGCGCGCCCACGCGTACGTTTTTCCCACGCGCCTGACACAAAAAAATTATTAGGCCTTTGCTGAAGTCATGCTAGCGTCAGCATGACGCCAGATAGTCTGGTTCCTATGTCAACCCATTTTGGGCCAGCCTACAAACTGGCTTGGACTTTGGGTTGGCCTATTTTTAGGGGTGGAGGGGTTTTTTTGGGTGCCAACCTATTTTTTTAGGCTTTGGGCCGGCCTACAAGATAGGATTGAAGTTGCTCTTATAAGTGCTTGACATTTTAATGTTACTAGAGTTCAAAGGCTTTTTTTTAATGGAAAAGCATTTGACAATGCTTCTTGAATTGCATGTGTTTTTAAAAAAAATATATTTATATGGCTCATAAGTAATATTAAGTTTTTATGTTAAACATAGTTATAAGCATTTTTTGTTGTCGAATGACACTTTAATTGGTTTTAAAAGTAGTCTCAAACATGCTCATAGTCATCTTTATATGTGTTTAGATGATGTCATTTGTCACTTTACTGTTGCAACAAAAGAGACAGGGAAAGAGGGAGAAATGATTAATTAAAAGGAGAGAAAAAAAGGATGCGGAGATGCTAGTATAGAAAGTGTTTGGTGTTGTTAGTTGAGTGATGCGAAAATTAACATAACACACAAATTAACCCTCTTTTGACAATTGTAACATATAAATAAGTAGGGATCGTTCTTACACCGGGGATTAGGAGGGATTGCTAAACACTTTAAACTGACTCAAATAAATAAAACTAACCTTTAAAACACTTAACTCAATTTAAAAAGACTCAAAACAAGTTCACAAGACTCAAAATAAGCTAAAAACACTCAAAACTGCCTAAAAACACAAATTGGGCAGTTTTGAGCCTAAACACAAACTTGGACGAAAATTGGTTCTAACTTGACTCAAAACTCTTAAAAACACAATCTAAAACATATTTGAACTATTTAGACACTCTAAAACAAATGGGGATTTGGTTTTGGACGAAAACAAATCAATAAATTGAACTAGGCATATTTGGACAAAATTGATTGAATTAAGTGGATGATGGGCTAGCTGGGAGGTTTTTCTCCACACATGGCATGCTTGCATACAAAACAATCTCCAGTTGCTTATTCAATGAATCATGAACCTCAACACCCCAAGTTAATTAGGTACACTTAAATTAACTCTCAGATTTCCCTTAGGTCATTGAATTGAATGGAATTAGCGCATTGCAATCAAATTATTCCTCAAAAGTTCTCTATATGAAAGCGCATACTAGAAAAACAATCAAAGATCATTAGGTTCTATGGAAATCATAAGTGTTGACGAGGCATTCGTAACTATGAAAGCGCATGATACTTATGCCAAGAATTTACTTAACATGATTGTGACTAACAACCTTAATTACTCATGAATATAAGTTCCCAACGATTAGGTGAAGTTTCCTTATATCCTAGCATCAGATTTATGCATGCAAATTAAGTGTGCACTCTCAATTCATATACATAAATAAGTCTTAATTCAAATAGATAAGTAAATTGAATTCACCATTCATGAAATCACAACTGAAAGCAGTCAAATCATCATGCAAATATAGCCATGGTTTCGAAATTCCCCATAGCCAAAAGGGGATTAGTTCCTCATGCTTGCAAAACAAAGATTATTGAATTTAAACATTGAAATCATAAGAAAGATTACACCTAAATGTTTTAGCAATTCCAGGATGAATGGCATGCACGGCTAGGCTCCTCTTCCTCCTCCTTGCTGCGGCACAAGGTGTGTGTGGTGGATTTGGGGGTTCTGAATGGTGTGCTCTCGTTTAGAGGGATGGAGGATGGCTGATTATGGTGGTAGAGGTGCGGCAGATGTGTATGGAGGTGTATGGAGGTTGAAGAATGAAGAATAGAGGTTGCGGCACAAGGTTTCTGAATAGCATAAGGGGTGGTACGAAATTTTGGCTGATTTTATGTTTATATAGTCCTATGGTTAAGTAGATTAGGGTTACACTTAACAGATTTAGTGGACTAGGGCCCTAAGGTTCAGCTATGGGTGATCAAATCCACCTAGGAGGGGGTTTGGCCCACTTAGTTTCATATAAGGCTTGTGTAACCCAAATCCAAAAGGGATTAGGCCCTAGAAATCAGAATCCAAAGGGAATTAGGCCTAGGAAGGTGCGGCACAAGTGAGAGAAAGGGGGGAATGGCTTGCAAGGAAAGGCAAGGCCTTCTAGAAGGGTTTGATGCGCCACCTTTGTAGGGTTTCTTGAAAGAATGGGTTTTGTGGCTGATTTGGGCCTTCTAGAAAATGATGCTTCTAGAAATAGGTTCTAGAATTATCTATTTAGGTCCCCTTGCAACTAAGATTAAGATATGATAAGGTTTGGATAGGATAAGATGAGATAAGGTTTGGATAATGTTTTGGATAATGTTGGATAAGGTTTTAGATAAGGTTTTGGATAGGGTTTCCTCTTTTGAGCTACTTCCTTATCCACTTTGTCTTTAGCTTAGTTGCTTCCTCTTCTTATCACATTTCTAGCCTCTTGAAGTCCAAATTCGTCCATCCATGTTGGCCCATATGCAAGCTATCCACATAGTGTCCAAAACTACTCCAAAATGCACCAAAATGCACTTTCTTGGTACTTTACCCCTTAGGACCTACAAACACACGAAATTGAGTTGTAATACGACATTAACTAGGAAATAATAGCTCAAATGTACAAGAATAAGCTAGCTAAGTCGCCTAAATATACTCCTATCATTGAGTCTTTCTTCAGGTGAAACAATAATGAATACTAGTAAAAATGCCCCCAATGCCCCCACTCCGCTGCGGATTTTGAATTCGTAATCAATATTTAACATATTCATTTTTAAATTAGACAGATGCTTCGACTTTCGATCACCTTTTTCTTTTTAATTATTATGTCACACTGTGAGGTTTTATTAAATGTGATTTTATTCACTTATATTGTAACACGTGAATTATTTTTAGAGCACATATTTCTGTTTTTCAAAGTCACTTTGTTTGTATTTAGGGAACTTAAATTTACCACCATTATGGCCTTTACCCTTCCTTCAATGGGGAATTGCAAATTTGAGATATAAAAGTTATATTTACATCTCATTTTAGTATTCAGGTAGATTTAAATGTTCTATTTCAATGGGAGAGATGTAAATTTGAGATCTCATATAATTTTCTCTCTTTAATTAGTATGATCTATCATCAAAGGATGTAAAAAAGAATGTAAATTTAGGTTTTTATTTACATCTTCTGGAGAAGATAATTAATTTACATTTCGTCGTTAAAGAATATTCCTGCAAAATTAAAAAAAGATATAAAATATCTATTTCAAGGCATTTGGCATCTCTCCTTGTCATTGGAGATGCTAAGGCATAGACTTGAACCTTCATAATTTCGAAGAAGGAGAGAATAGGAAACAACGACACAATTTATGATCAAACTAACCCACCCATAGGTGAATGACATGTCGCCAAATCAATATCATGATAACTATGACCCAAACGTAATTATTCCTTAAGAGCTTTCATAATAATAAACCAATTATTGGCATAATGGTGTCACATAAGCACTTTTTGCAAGCTAGAGAATATTAACAAGTCCACCACATTAATGTAAACAATGTCAAAACTCCTCTGCCTCTGCCGATGGATAAATTTACCCTCTATATTGAGAAACAAAAACAATTTACTCAAACAAAATGTAAAATATGGCAGAGAGACTAACTTATACAGCCTCACCAAAATTAAAAAAACCAGTTCCGTACCATAGATTTATAATAACCCCAGTTAACATCACTAGATGAGCCTCTTTCTTCCTCCTGCCATTGCCGATCGTCTAATACCTTCGTGAACAAAACCATACTCCTCAGCTGCTTGCTCCAATAGCTTCAAGAAAGTTGAGTGTGTCAAGTAACTCAATGCCACCACAAATCTCTTTGGTTCATCTCCTTCCACCGCAATCACAGCAAAGTGGCCCTCCTTAACATCTTCCGGCACAGTCGTTGAGTCGCCATCGGAATAATTTGACGATTTTGATCTTCCCAAAGATAGACTTCTTCGTAGCTTTTCCACTACAATTTTGAGCTTCACAGTGCTCTTATTCTTCTTGCAAGTACTTGTGGTTCTAGACTTGGCCATAATAGTTTCTTCTTGTTGATGTGTTGGACTGATGGTATATTTGGTACGTTAGCTCACTTTGTTATATAGAGGGTTAAGGGGGGTAAAATTGTACTGTTCCCATATGTACAATTTGACATAGCAAGAAGCTAGAAATAACACGTCGTTGCTGATTTGTGAGGATATCAATCGGGGGGTGGGGGGTGGTTGGGTGGGTGCGACGAGACCATCCCATGTGATTGTGGTCTGACTTATGTCTTCCAATTTACCATGATACGTCCGTTTTGAATTGTCATGTCAACCTCTTCCTCTACCAAAATCATTAAACGGCACTTCTACTTCTACTCTACTACCTCTGATCTTTTTCCATGCCTTCTTAGCTTTCTAGTTATATATGCCGTCCCCCACACCCGTCCCCTCCTCAGCCCATCCGTCCTCCCCTGGCCCCCTTCCCACCCCCATCCGTACTCCCCGCCAACCCGTCCCCCCTCCCTCCAACATATATTCCTCCCCCCTACCCTTTTTATGCCTCCGCTAATGATCATTATCCCATTCGAAAATGCACTTTCTGTCTTGCGGCTTGCGATTCATAAGACTATTGTTTTATCATTTCGACAGCATCTCGTTAGGGTTCTCCAAATGCACAACGTAGATATTGTAAACAAATATCTAGTATGCACTCGAAGAATATTAGGGGATACAACCAAATTTTCCACGATTGAAACTTAACCATGTTCACCGCAAACCCTAATGACATACTAGTGCACTTTCAAACTGTTTGAATTGGACAATTCAAGAATCGGTTAGATTGTAGAGACACATACTACATATACACGCACACCCAACAAACTCTCAAACGAATCTAAGGTTTTCCTAAATTTATTATACGAAGTTAATCAACATAATTAACTTCGTATAAACGGTTGGGGAGATATGGGTGTGAGTGTGTGAGAGAGAGAAAGATAATGAATTTTTTTCTGCAAGAGGAGAGAGCAGCGGCGAGGGAGAAAGAAGAAGGCACAAACCTTTTTAATGAATAGGGTTTTGCCCGACGAACTATTTCGTCTAACAAATATAAAAAACCATCGAGCAAAATATCGGTGGTTCTTTTATAGGTTATTGTGGATCTTTGCCCAATGTTTTCACCCTTGACCCGATGAAATGTGTCGTCAGGCAAACCTCTACATATTATGTGTCATTTTTCTTCCTTGGCGCCAAAGTATATCGGACGAATATAATCTTACCCTGAATGTTGACTAGCTAGCGTTAACTAACTACTGTAAATTTTCATTGGGCAAACTCCATTGACCTAATGAAATATGGTTCGTTGGGTCAAATCTAGTTGGACAAATACTGTTTTTTGGTAATGTGTGTAAATATTTGGAGCACTGTTTCTAAAAATCCTCGCCTAGCGCCACCTAGGTGCTAGACGGTTGGTCATCACTCCGATTAGTGCCTAGGCGTTTAAAAATTAAGAAAGTGCACCTACGTAACCTGCTTAGGCACCCGCGTAGGTTGCGACTCTCACTTGGAGAGAAAATTGATAACTTTCATTTTGCATTTTATTTTTTTTTTAATAAAATGTAAGAAACTTGTTGAATACTAGGATGAACACTCATTATATTCTTGTGTGTCCCATGTTTTCAACAAGTTCTAATACTTTATAATTTATGTGTCATTTGATTTTACAATTTATGTATCTCAATACAATTATGTGTTTTTAAAGTATAAATAGGCACTTATTTGTCCAATATATAATAAATTTACTTAAATCCGCCTAGTCCGCCAAGGCCCTGCCCAGCTGCTTAGGCGTTAGGCCCCAGCTAGCCGCCTGACTAGCACTTATCGTCTTTTAGAACCTTGATTTGGACTGTTGTTTCACATCATAAAGCAAAAGGACTTTGCATGATCTTATAAAGAGTTGATTACTCTACAACCACGTTTTCTGCCTAGGACTGGGATGGATTAGATTGGATTTATTAGCTCACTAAACTCCAAGTATGTTAATGAGATAACTGCGCAAACTTTTAAATTTTGTCCAAGTTGAAGTTAGACATAAATGATGTTTCACTTGATAGACCTGGAGGGCATGCGCATGCTTAGAACAAATTGAGCACATGGAGTACCCAAAATTTGACACGGATTCAGCCTCCATCACACAAATTTTTTGACGAGTGAAATGCATGTCTAAATATATAGTACTGCAGTAAACCTGGGTTCTGTGGTTCTTGTTGAGTTTTTCGACTTTTTCGACTTTTACGACTTTGTCTTCATGCATGCAGTCCACAAATTCATCGTACGTGTTAACTTCTACATTAAATAAATATTTTCTTTTTCAACATGGAGAAGTTTTTCCATGTCCTCGCACGTGGCGATGAAGGGCATCCGCAGTTGAGTTAAGTAGTTAACAGTTCAGGATTTGGCTTTTGCGTCCATCTATGATTGTTCTCACGTTATTTTTTTCATTTTGTTTTATAGTGTCCCATTGCTTTTAAAGTTTTAATTTTTTCTCAACTTGGTTCCACCCCTATACTTTGTTTTTTTTTTTTTCTTCTAAAAGTTTTAATTAAAACATCACAGATAATATCTAGAGTTACTATGTTCAAAACGACAAACTTGACTAATCAATTTGCCGCGGAATTAGATGTTCAACTTGGCTTCTCCATTAAAGTTTTGTTTTCTTTTGATCTATAAAATTTGTTTAAAATTCATCATGTAATGGATTTTATTTTCCACTGTTGATAAGGTAAAAATTGAGTTGTGCCCGAGAAAAATTGGACTGGAGATATGTGGTGATGCAGCTGTAGTTATCACATGGACATATATATTCGTCCCATGTGGTGTGCATGATATAGTCCCTACGGACGTGAAGTTCTGCTCTAACCAGCGTCCTTTTTGTCCTTCCCCACCCCTGGTCACTACATATAAAAGTGTGGTCTGTCCTCAAACTACATATAAAAGTGTCTGTTCTAACTTTCGGAGGAAGATTCTCTCTTCTCATAATCACTTTCCTCATCTCTCTCCTCTTACTTGAATTACAATTAAGCCACATTAATATTTTATATTAATTTTTTATAAAAACAAAAAAAAAAAAAAAAACAAAACAAAACAAAACAAAACAAAAAAAGCAAAGTGTGAGAGGAGAGGAGGAAAAGAGATGAAAATAGGAGGGGAGAGATTCCTACATCCTAAATTTTATAATTCTAAAAGGTGGGAGCCGTACAAAAAGGAACCAAAGCTTTCTCCACGCGTATCAAAACTCAAAGCTCTATCAATAGATAAAAATGGTGTTGACATCATGCTGACGTCAGCTTGCCGAAGGTAGTAGGTCGAGCTTTTGAAGGCTGGGCATCTGGGTTGGCAGTGGTTGGCCCACCACTTGCCCTTGATTTTATGGACTGCTCAACATTGTTGCCTTTGCTCTTGCATTCCACCAACTGATGGAGATCATATTAGAAAATAGGGCAACAATTGAAATGTGTCTCAACTTTTTTCAGCACAATAAACCTAGCATAATGTCACTTCTTATTTATTGATCTAGTATGGTGAGTATTTTTCTTCACTTATAAGTAAAATATTCTAAATTTTAATGTCATGAATAATAAATTTGTAATCAATTTATTTCTCCCACGCTTTAGTGTAAAATATATCAATGAAAAAACCCTGGCATACAATTTTTCAGATTTGTAGTCTTATTTAGTTGTGAAAAGTAATTCCATAGAGATCTTTAAGATTTTAGGACCATGACATATATTCATGGTATGAATTCTCAATTGACTCTACAATCATCAGCTTCATTTTTCACAAATACAAACTTCATCCATGGAAATTTGTTTAAGAAATTTATATACAAATTATAAATACTTTTGAATTCATGACTTGATATTTTGCTTTTGTGGGATCAAATCTAGCTGTCCAGGTAGATATTTTGCTAGAGAAAGACCAACGATGTGGGTTCATAAGTGACACATCATCCCATCATTTAATTAAAGATTGACTAATTATTGGAAAAGATGTCAACATAGGCTTCATGTGTTTTCTAGGAACCAAACTAAACTAATTAGGGTTGCCACACAAGGGACCGGACAAACAAAAGGCAGCACTTTGAGGTTCTTCTTCGAATTATTGTCTTCCGTTGGATGAGAGGGCTCTATAGTTTTGATCAGTTTGAATGCTATGTTTTAAGGGAGATACTGCTAATTGAGGGAGTAAAGGCCAATCAGTCAAGAGACAAAACACAAACATAACTTGCGTGCGTGCTTGCAAATTGATTTCCAATAAGTTCTGATATTATTAAAGTGAAGTTATTGGCTGGTATCTTCGTCCAATTTATAATATTTTGTACATTGCCGATATTTTTGCGATCATGTATATTTAGCTGGTACGATTGGTACTCGATGCCAAACGGTATTTTCCCTTGTAAATTATTTCAGTCCAATTTTAGGAGTAGGAAAAGGTTACTTAGGAAATAAGAAACTTTCATATTAAGAGTACGTAAACTTATAAATAAAGTTGGCAATTGAAATATTTAAAACACATCTAGAATGCTTGTAGAATTTTCAAATACAAAGTAGAGCAATTAGATTGTCTGATTAAACAAGAAGGTTCCATTAAATTAAAAGAAACAATGAGGTCCTGCATACATATCCGTGGAAATTTTTTTTTTTTTTTTGGTCAAACGAGATAAATTTCATTAATTTTAGGGAGCTTTAATGAAAAGGGTTTTGGCCAACAAATATTTAACCAAAAACCATCCCAAAATATTATTTAACCAAAAGGGCTTAAAGTTTAATAAAAAACCATCCTCTTCTCACCCTTCTCTAGCTTAAGCGGTGCAAGCTCCGCACAACACTTGGGTTTTTTCAACTTCTCCAACAACGGCAACCCCAACAACAACATATTCGGTGTCGAGTTTGATGTCTTCGAAAACCAAGAGTTCCAGGATCCTGATGACAACCATGTTGGTTTGGACATCAACTCCCTTACGTCTAATGCTTCGAGCACCATTGGGTATTGGAGTGGCGGACTTGATCAAGATTTCAACGAGTTGAAGCTCAACAATGGAATTGAATATCAAGTGTGGATTGATTTTATGGGCTCGAGAATTAACGTGACCATGGCTCGTGCCGGCGTGGCAAAAACAACCAAATCGAATTCCTCCATTTCAAAAACAACCAAATCAAAGTTGAAAAAGGAAGCATTCATCGAAATAAAGCCGCCGAACACAAGTTCAAAGAAGTTTAATGGCAGAAACTAGTGAAAAATGTTTGGGAAAAAAAAAAAGAACCAAAACATAAAACTATTTCTGGAGAACCCAAAACATAACACTGTTTCTGGAAAAAAAAATAAAAAATCAGATACAGTGTTTGTTTTGTCTGACACAAATAAACAATGTATCTGAAAGAAAAGAACCAAAATCCAGAAACAGTAACTTAAATTCCAAAAACAGTAACTTAGATTCCAGAAACAGTCTATATTTTAACCTTTGACTGTTTCTTTTCTTTCGTTTATCAGTTGATTATATTTAAGAAACAAGGTGCTTAATTTGCTTTGAATCCAAATACAGTGAATTTCACTATTTCTTTTCTAGTTTACATTTAAGAAACAGTGTGTCTATTTCATTTGGATCCAAAAACAGTGACTTAAATTCAAGAGGTAAAGTAACTTAGGTTCCAAAAACAGTGACTTCAACTCCAAAAACAATGTTACTTAAAATCCAAAGATAGTTTATTTTTACAGTCCAGAAATAGTGACATGTCGTTATTATTGAATAGCATGTAGATCTCAAATTTATTTTCTGGAGAAACAAACGATGAACTCCACTAATGAAGAAAAATTGAAAAACAATATCTCGAATACACTATGAATAATAACGACGATCACATTTCAAAGAAATAATACAAAATATAGCATGAGGATCTATATTTTTGTTTCAAAGAAAAAGAAGAAGGTTTGCAAAACAACGGTGAACTCCATTAACAACGAAAATCTGAAACTCAACCTAAAAAAGTTAGGGGTAAAATCGACAAATCATAATTTATTATAGTTGGGCCATTTTTAGTTGGATTACTTTAATATGAGTCTTGTACTAATCATTAAACAAAACTTACAACATGTTTTTTATTAAAACTAAAACTGTTTAAGTCTCTTTCATTAGTTTTTCTTTAATTTTAATACTTAAATAGAAAGTCCAAAAGCAATCCAGACACAAGCATAGTCTAACCGTAAATACAAAAGAAAAGCCCAAAAAGAGCAAGTTCACAATAATAAAACCCTAGATCTAGAAGACTGCAGACTCGACCACACCAGCTAGCTCGCCATCGCAGATCTGCCACCACCACCAAGAGGAAGAACTCACGAAAAAATTGGATGAACGGAAAATGGAGGTGAGTGAGCCATCCGTGCAAAAAGCGCTCCCGTAATCCTAACAAATAGTACTAATAAAAGCACATTAACAACCATCAAATACCAAAATGCGCTACCAAGGAGAGACACGCGATGGGCCAAGTAGTAGAAGTCGGCGGTGAAGGACTGACAACGGAGATAAACATCGGAGCAAAAAAAGGAACATAAAAGTCCAAATCTTAGACAAACTCAGAGAGGTCGAGACAAAAGCTCTAGAATTGAAAAGTAAAAATTGAAGGGCCAAAAATGGATATGCAAAAGCCAAAGAAGATGAGGAAGGATTAGCTTGGATTGGCAAGCAAGGGGAGCCGCCACGGACCCCCACCCAAAAGTGGGAGTCGGTGGCAATAAGGGCGGAAGAGTCGTATGATTTAATCCTGTCATGCTATTAGAATACAATGTTAAATTGCTAGTTAAGGTCATACGTAGTTGCCACAACAGGCAGATCGGACCTCCGCATGAACTTTTTGACTAAATATATTATTGACATTGCACAACGAGCTAATATTTATATTGCAGAATTTCCCACCATGAAACCGACAAAAAAAAGTTGAAATAATGATTGGTTAATGAACAGAATTAAATTTTGGGTTTAGAAACAAAACATGTCAATAGTGATGGCTCGCCCTGGTGATCAGGACCACCTTTTCCATTCGCTGCATTATATTTACTCTCTTTTTGTTCGGAAGTCCTCACACTCACTCTCACACGGCATTTTAGTTATTTTCTTTAACTCCATTCCCTTTTCTATAACTCCCTCTACTATAATGTAACTTTAGGGGCACATTTGAAATTCACCCCACAACCTCAAAATGTATAAATGAAATAATCAAATAAAAAATGAACAAAAATATAGGGGAGGAGATATCTTAATCCACCCTATTGTAATTAAGAAGTTGAAATTTTTGTTTGATAAATTCTTTGGACTTGTCTTATTTGCCCTTAAATTTTCCAGAAAAAAAGAAGGAAGAAATTAACGGAAAGAACACCACATCACACGAGAGTGAGTTTCAAAACCACTAAAAACAAAAGAATAAAGTTCAAGGACGAAAATAAAAACACGACCTCGTTTAACCAAAAGAACAATGGACCAACTCTTGGTCTAGTGGAGAAATTTTTATGTAGCAAGAACATCACGTCGCGTTGTTTTAGGCACACTTCTATGGTTCTCTCACAATGGTAGGCACTATCACAATTCACAAGGTAACCGATGGTCTATGTAGTCCAAAAGGATGAAAAAGAACCTCTTACAGTCGATAAATAATCATTAGCCAATCATAATAAAAGAAGCTTTTATTTGTATTAATACAACAAATTGTATGAGTCTCCCAACAAAATCTGGATCCTTTGTATCTGCCATCTGCTTATCTACCTAACCAACCTCAGAACCCCCTTCCTCTCAGGGAAAAATAAAGAATAAAAATTTCGAAACTAGATTTCTTGTATGCTATTTCGACACAGTAGGGACGATTAACTGAACTGCCCTTTATATGTATTCCTAAATCCTAAAACAAAAATCATTTCAACCTATGGAGGAATTTAGTACAACAAGCTGTATGCATCCTCGGTCAGCAGATTAGTTGTATATATATACAAAAGAAAGTGCTCACGGGAAGCCCGTGAACGTAAAAGACGATGATTCTAGGCAGCTCTTTTCGCTGCTGTACATATTTTTCGTCCCGGCGGTTGGAGCGCCATTCACAAACACAGAAGGCTGTAGAATACGAGCGGTATGAATGCATTATCAAGTTGTGCTGTGTAAGCCTCCAACATACCACTTACAGTCACGGCTAGGAGAAGAGAGCACCAATGCTGAAAAAGTTCGGCATCGAAAGCATAAGCACATGCATGAACAAACTCGTTGACAGGAATAGAGAGACAACTCCAGTTACTTGATGACCTCCTATATGCATCTATTTTAATGGAGTGGGGTTAGAGGAGAGGGGGCTCCATCAAATTATGCACACGCAAACATCGACAAAACTCATACTTAAATCACATGCATTATCAACCACGGTGACCAAAACCGGCAGCACAAACAGAATATCCTAATTCGGCGACAACTATATGCGTGTGCACTTTGTTTCCAATTAGGAAACACTGATGAACATGAATTGCTTGCACATGCATGATTCATCTGATTCGCAGAGTGCACCTCAACTCATCTAGGTGGCTTGACACCGCGTATGTGAGACCAATTAGATATCTTATTCTTATGTAGGAATTCCTTTTCTACATAACTTAAAAAAAAAAATAACCAGTTCAGTTATTCACGTAATAGGTTCCGTGAACAACAACAGTCATATACTAATTTGGCAGAAGGAGAGAGAGACAGATATACACACCTCTGTAAGAATATATCCAGTGGATGCTAAAAGGGGAAGCAGAACTGAGCAAGCAGCCAGGACGGATGTTATACCAGCCGCAGTCCCTTCAATGGTTTTCTCTGCAAAGAAAAGTTCCACATGCATTAAGCAAATTAATGGAAACCCCTTTTTTGGTGTAATTAATTAATACAGATACTTACTGCCAGTTTTACTCCACCTGAGGACACCATACTTATACCCAACAACTGATGCCTGAACATAAAAACACAACCATTAAACTAGAATTAAGCAACAGTTGTTTCGTGTCCAGTTCATTCGGTGCAATCACACTCACCATTGTATCTCCAATTCCGAGGCTCAAAATTCCAGAAAAAGGAGCAAGGGGTCGATCATTATACCCCGAAGATATCCAGATAGGAAGAGCGCATCCCAACAAGAGTGAAAAGTGGCTGAACAAAGCATATAATATAAAAGACAAAACTTGTGTGACTTTTTTGCATCAAATTTATGAGTTTTAAGGGTTTGATCTAGGGGGTGAAGGAATTCCATACCTGACAATAAGAAGATCTGAGTCACGATGATCAGTGAAAGCATTCATAAATTTATCTACAGATTGTCCTAATGGCCAAATTCTCCATACCTTGTCACAAAGACAGTCAAGCAAATGAAATAAGATTGACTTCAAAACCACTCTAACATACAGGCCCAGCACACGCACACACAGAAACTCTCTCTCTTCCAAAATATTCAAACACAGTATTTTGACTTGGCAATATTGTATCCTCAACAAGTGGATTTTATTTATTGCATAAGAAATTAAATTTATAGACCAATCAACCTCAGGTGCTAGTTTGAAAACTTACTCGAATAATTTCCAATGCCAAGAAAACTGCCAATGCTGCACCGAATGAAAGATCAAGAAACTCCGGCTGGAAAAGAAACATACAGGGAGCATATAAACACACACTCAACTAGAATGATGAATCCAAAAGTTTTCTGAGATGACAATCAATTCTTAGTCCTAAATCACCTGGAAGATAAGAGCAGGCACAAACATTGACACAGCCATCAGATGGTAGTACTTTCGGAGTAGAATCCTCTCAATCTTGCTATTTTTTGAAATATTGTAGAACCTCAAGACAGACACAAATATCACACAGATCCAGTACGCACACAAAGATAATCTCTTAAATGGTTCTGAAAAAATAAATGAAAGTACCCTGCCAAAAGAAAAAAAAGAGATTTTGATGCGGATATAAGAAAGCCATCAGACAGAAAGACAAATGTTTTGTAAACAGAATCAAAATTATAATCATGCACAGCGAAGAGCCAAGTTATGAAACAAAAGGAAAACTTAAGGAACCTTATACAAGTCATTGCCCATGCAAATTTTGCCGAAAATTTACCAAATTGCACAACCCCTCAGAACCACAATCCAGATCAATTGCCACAATTCATGGCACTCTAGCAGTCCAGTTCCTTGAAACTGGAATTCAAGTGTACCATGATATATGGGAAATAAAAAGTAGATAACATGTCAAAATTACAGAAAACTTAAAAACAGAAAATGCTGGTGTACCATGAATGACAAATGCAATTTATTGATTTTACAAACTCTGATTTAAGTATTTATGCATTTTTGAACACATGGATGGATGTACTTCAAGTTGTATGCAAGGAACCAAATTGATATGTGTAACATTGCAAACTTACAACTCCAAATTAGCTAACCTAGTATACCATGCGCGCCATGCACCAGGGCTAAGAGCACACCAAATCTCATACAGTACCGCAAACCCAAACATAAAAAAGATCCTAGTAACTATGGTTTTGGTAGAACCTACCATTCAAACTATTTGAAAAGGAAGTTGCAAACACACAAAAAGAGTAGCACAAAGAAAGTCCCGGTAACTGCAATTCTGGGCCTACATCACAACCAATGGAAAGCTGCTTCGCTATTATCACAAATTTCATATTCTTGAATAAGTCATACTTTGCAATTGTGCACACCAATATGCAGTGAGACTTAATTCAGAGTTTTGTTTGTTATCTAGTTTTTTACATTCAGATGAAATCGGTGCCAATGCATGATATCAACCAGCATGCAGACCCCTTGATGTTTTGTTCAGACTGCAGCATTGACTTTTTATTAAATACCATTCCAAGCTTGCATTCCACACATCTAATAACTTCAGCACCAGTTACAAGAAATATCAGCCACTTAATTATAGTGAAACTAATGGTAACCTAATAACCATGTCGTATAGAAGATAATAAAAAATCCAGTTGAAGTAACAAGTATCATACAAATCGTTGAAAAAGGTTATACCATAACAAGGGATGCATATGAAAATCCTGAACCAACCGCATCCATGATGGAATGATCACAATCATGATAAATCCAAGGGAAGAAAAGAAGATAACAGATCTCCAAATCTCGTAGTTTGTCCTCACTTCAGAGCGGGCTGTACTTAATGAGAATTCCCACATTCGGAGAACAAATTTAAAGGCCATTGGGAAAAGAAGAAGGCCAAGCAGCAACCCCTGCATAAAATAGAACACTGTTGGTTTTCCAGCCAGACCACTTACAATAAATTTCATCTCCTAAAGAAACAAACCTGTATAATAATACTAATCTCACTTCGTTTGCTTCCATACTGTACCACCTCTGATTTCATAAAAAACCCAGACACCTGTGCGAGAAATGTCATAACCAATATAATGAGTATATAAGCAGTTTGAACAGAGAAAGAAATAACTAAATAGAGCAGAAAAGCAATAACCTTTTCAATGGTATATGCCAACATGTCACCAAAATAGAGAACAAGACCTGAAGTCACTAGACATGCTTCCCCTAGAGTGAAACCAAAAACATGCGACATCAACAACTACTGAGAAAGAATCAGAGTAATACCTCAAAACAATAATTATCAGAAAGAGAGGTATGAATAGAAAGAAAAATAAAGAGAGAGAGAGAGAGAGAGAGAGAGAGAGAGAGAGATCTGCTCACTAGCTGACTAATGATATGGCAATTCAACTTGAAGTACTCAATATGAATTAATTAATGTATTACTATTATGTATAAAGAACTTAATTTCTGGAAGAACATATTGACTGGGCAAATGCATATTCATGTTTTTATTTTAGTTGTGTAACCACTGAAAGCCACTAAACATCATGGGACCATCCATGAATAGTAAATTTATTCCTAAGAAGCTAAAGCAGCCATTTGAATTAGGAAGTTATGTTTTTCCCCTTCAATTGAATTTTTGCAAGAATGAGCAAGTAAAATAGAAAAAAGTAGCAAGGCATATACCAATGGAAGCACAAGACGGGAAAGTTCTAAGGACATGCTGAATTAATTTTACAGCTGCCAATCCGTGACAGAGCATCCACAATAACTTCAATGCAGTGTCAAAGCCTGTATGGAATGAGTAAATAAAGTTTCAGTTTTCCAATTACTATTGACTTAACCACAAGTAGAGAACACTTTCCATGCTCCTTAATCAATTCAGAAGAAAAGAACTTGGAAGACGTGCAGGAAACATACTAGTAAGAGAAAATGTACCAAGAGTCACGCAGCACACCGCTGTGTGCAATACCATGCAACTTAAGCTAAACTTTGCATGCCAAATACTACGTGAAGGTGGAGGCATATTCTCGGATGAACGCCTTATAGTTATGCAGAGGAAAATCAGCACACACAAGCAGCTGGCAGAAGCAGCCCAGTATTGCATTGTCAAAGATTCAAGTTCTGGATGGTAATATTGAACATATCAGCAACATATTAGAGAGGAATGATATCAGACAAAGGTGCGATCTAAACAGTTGGAAGCATGAAGCCCTACAAAATCAGCTTATAAAACCAACTAAAAGTAATAGATGAAAAGAGTTACCAGTTAACATAAACCTTTGCAAAATTTTACAGCCAGAGAAAGAGAGAGAGAGAGAGAGAGAGAGAGAGAGAGAGAACGAGAGAAAAGGAGGGTTACGATCTATAAGGACCTATGCACTAAGTTAACAAAATGTCTACCAGAACAACTTTTCCTGTATCCCATGTGACTTGGCAGCTGGGACAAATGCTGTCTCTTCATGAAAACGTAAAACCGAGAGAGGGAATGCTAAAGATTTATTTCTATCACTTCATCTTAATAGGATCACAGGAAAATACCACTTTCATCCAAATTCTTTTCTCTTACTAAGTACTAAGAGCAAATTCTGCATAATTAAGAATCATCTTAAATATTTGGTTGAAAAAGGAATTGCTTCAAAACACACATAATTATCCTCATGTGCAAATGGAAGTTTTCTTTTGATCTTCAGACCCATGCACTCCATATTCCCTTCTCATCGATTCTTTATGCTTTTTCCCACTAACCAAATTTCAAATCTATTCAAACATCACCTATTGCCGTAACAATCTAAAGTAGACTAAGAATTTACTATGGCAATATGTCATACCTAATGTAACAACATTAGCTAATTAAACCCAGTACTCCGATAAATATCACGAGCTTCCAAAACCCCAAATGGCACAGTGAGTAGCCCGCAGAATTTAAAATCGGAGCACGTTCATATGATCAGCAGAATCCTGTCACATTCAATTGCGGACCTCCCACCAGTACCGATAAGTTCACGTCGATCATGCAACTCAAATTTCTTTTACATAATCGTAAAGGTTTAAACCTTTTCGGCTCATCAGTACAGTGACGAAAAAAAAAAGACAATACTTTTACTAATTTGATGTTAATTATGTTTATTTTATGGTAATTATGTTTAGGCGCCGCGGATAACGGTGAGCTGAAGTCGAAAGCTAGACCAAGTACCTTCAATGGCAGCTTGGTGCAATGAAACCGCCCGCGAAAGCTGAATCATCTTGGATATGAAAACAGCGGGCAACGTGACAGCCCCTAACAATATACCCGACGAAGCACCCGGCCTGAAAAATTGAAATTACAATAATGCCCACATCCACCACCGCAAGAGCCCCAACAAAATCAATTTCAAAAATCGAAAGCGAAGAGTGCGCGTACCTGGTGCTGAATTGGGAGAGGGAGGTGGAAGAATCGGCGAGGATGTCGAGGGAGAGGGCGGAGAGGGCGAGGAGAGAGAGAGCGACGCCGTGGGAGAGGAGAGAGAAGGGGAGGGAAAAGAGGACGCGAGTAATGAACAGCAACACCACGGCTCTCTCTCCGTTCATCATTCCGGCCATCGCCATCGCCATGGCCGCCATTGGAATTGGCGAACCTAAGCCTGTTCCGGCTTCGAGACGACGGAATCGGATTGATCGAAGGATCAAAGAGGGGATTGAGAGGGAGGAGTCGTTGGGCTTTTTCGCGGGAATTGGGAATTTGGGAGGCGAATCTCCATTTTTTGTGATGATAATTCCAATGACGTGTGTGGAACGCTTGACCCAACTTGGAATAATGCGATTGGATGCGGTTGGAGACTTTGGCAGACGGGGACCAAACCAAACTGCACCAACGCGTTGAGAATCTTGACATTTACTAAAACCATCAAAGTCACCAACTACGATTTTGGAAGATAATTAAATTACACTAAAAAAACAGCCATACCACATCCTAAGTAGGAAAAACGCATCTTTAACGGAATTAGCAATTCAATTAATAAATTAAATAAGTAGTAAATGATCTTTTTCGACTTGGCTAATATTTTGTAAAAAGAATATATAAGGTACAATTTGAAAAATATATGATTCACATCGTCAAAATTCAGTGTAGTGTGGACCCCTCCAATTAATTGAAACTTAGTTTTAGTTGATTAGATGGAATTTTTGTGTTCAAAGAAACTTAATCTTTTGAAGGAATTTGGAATGTGTGAGGCGTGTGGATGTTTAGAAAATTATATGTGACGACCCGTCTCGAATAAATATATATTTTCTCCCATAATGTGTGAAAATGACGATAATGCCCTCAAGGCTTAGTGACGTGGATGTATGCATATAGTTTTAAATTATTTTTCTCGCTGACGTAATTAAATTGTACGCGTCGTCACGAGCGTGTTGACGCGAGTTAGTGCCGAATCGGGTTTATAACGAAAAATGTTACGGATGAATAAATGAGATTGGGTTGGTTTTATTCCTATTTGGACTTTTTGTGTAAGCCCTAAATTCTATAGCCCAATTAGGGCTTGAGACCATTTTAAATTGAGAGCTTTAATGAAAAAGGCTTGGGTCCAAAATATTTTAACCAAAAACCATCTTATAGTTTTCTTTAACCTAAAGCACTTCAAAAGTAACCATAAGGATAGGGCTTTCAAATTCTACATGGTATGGATAGCAGAGCTCAACATGGATAAAATTAAGTTTCCAAAAGTACCCCTAACAACCCTCCAAGGCTGACTAGAAGATCGCCTGCGATTCCAAGCTCTGCTCCCTCCTTGACGAGTATGGCCAGGTCCTTATTGTCGCCGCCGACAACGTCGGCTCCAAGCAGCTCCAGAACATCCGCGAGAGGCTGCGCGGAGACTCCGTCGTTCTGAAGGGGAAGAACACGATGATGAAAAGGTTCGTCAGTATCCATTCGGAGAAGACGGGCAACAGTGCCTACCTCAACCTCGTCCCCCTCTGTGGTACGTTCTTTGGCTCTATTTGTGGTTGCTGATTTGTTTGTACTCGTTGGTTTTCTGATTTGTTGTTGTTTTTGGGATTTAGAGCAACGTCGGTCTGATTTTCACAAAGGGTGATTTGAAGTCAGTGAAGAGGTTGGCAAGTACAAGGTAACCGAATTCGATTTCCTTTTTCGTTGTTCGAATTCATGATATTATCAATTTTAATGCGTTTTAGTTGTTGTAGTGATGTAAGATGCTTATTGTGTCATAGGAAACCGTGGTTAAGAATTTGGTGTTCAGTGCAGAAAGAACCTCATTTGAGGGTACTTTTGATAAGGCCTGCGGTTTGCATCCTCAAGGACCATTCGCAAAAGCATATGGAATGTCCGGGGAGTGCATCCGGAGGAGGAGCATCATCGGCTATGCCAACATTTGGCAACAGCTGGGTTGAAAATCGTAATGATTTGGTGACAGCTTTGAATTTGTTTCTCTCTCCCTCTAGTTTTGCTACTTTCAGAGCGCCTGCTGCTTGCTTACATGTACCTATATCCATTTTTCCGACTAATGTACTGTGTTTAATTAATCAGAGACATCCAAACCATCTTTTTTATTTATTTATTTATTTTATTTGTACAAACGAGCCATTACAAATGATTATAAATTTGGAAATGATTTCCGTACTCTCATTTTTCTCTGCCGGATTCAGGACAAACATGACATCTTTGAAAAGTCACGTTTCAATCTAAAGTTCAAAGTAGCATGACAAACTGAATACAAATACTATTACTATTTTTTAAACTAAACATTGATATTATCACTATTTCTCAAACTAGACACAAATGTTATCACTATTTTTTAAACTGAACATTGATATTATCATTATTTCTTAAACTGAACACTGATACTGTTATTATTTATTAAACTGAATACTGACTATTTATTAAACTGAACACTGACTATTTCTTAAACTGAACGCTGATACTGTCACTGTTTCTTAAACTGAACATTGATACTATCACTATTTCTTAAATTGAACACTGACTATTATTAAACTGACCACGAATACTATCACTATTTCTTAAACTAAACACCGATGCTATCACTATTTCTTAAACTGAATGGTGACTATTTCTTAAACTGAACACTGATAGTATTACTATTTCTTAAATTGAACACTGACTATTTATTAAATTGAACACTAACTATTTCTTAATCTGAATACTAATACTATCACTGTTTCTTAATCTGAATGTTGATACTATCACTATTTCTTAAATTGAACTCTCACTATTTCTTAAATTGAACATTGATACTATCACTATTTCTTAAACTGAACATTAGTACTATCACTATTTCTTAAATTGAACATTGACTATTTCTAGAAATGAACACGGGTATTATCACTATTTCTTAAACTGAACATTGGTACTATCACTATTTCTTAAATTGAATATTGACTATTTCGTAAACTGAACATTGACTATTTCGTAAACAGAGCCGATTATTTTTTTAAACTGAGCTGACTATTTCTTAAACTAGACATTGACTATTTTTTAAACAGAACACCCACTATTTCTAGAACTGAACACGAGTTTCTCATTATTTCTTAAATTGAACACTGGTACTATTACTATTTCATAAACTGAATATTAACTATTTCGTAAACTGAATATTGACTATTTCTTAAATTGAATATTGACTATTTCTTAAATTGAACACTGATACTACCACTATTTCTTAAATTGAACATGAACTATTTCTATAACTGAACGCGAGTATTATAATTATTTCTTAAACTAAACACTTGTACTATCACTATTTATTAAACTAAACACTAACTATTTCTTAAAGTTGAACACTGACTATTTACTTTTCTTTCGCTTCTCTAATCTCATGCTCCAACTCAAACCTAGAACAAGAACACCTATATATATGTAACTAAAATTTCCTTTAATTATGATCATGGCAAATTGTCATACAATTTTTTGCAAGACTTTGAACTCTTTGTTTCTTTTTGTTTGTTGGTTTGGCATGTTCACTAATAAGTAGATCCCACTTAACATCCAAACCCATCTTTTTTTCAGTTCTTTAATTTATGCAAAGTTAAGACAACCAGCTTGCAACAATGTTATAAAAATTGGGGACTAGACCTTACACATTAACCAAAGGGCCAAATTATTATAAAAATTCGACACAGGGAACAAGATTAGTGTTGTCAAATGCCAATTAAAAACAATTAAAACTTGAATTTTGGACTGAGTGTGAGTGGAATTCCAGATTTCCAAAGGGGAAGGGACAAAAGGAACATAGTTCAAGAACTTGAAATCAAATTGGTAATTTGATGTAACGTGTGTCATTCCCTTCTTTCTCCTCCTCCTCAATGTCGCTTCTTCAAAGGCCACAAATCTCTGTCCGTGCATACGAAGGCCCCGGTAATGTCAAGTTTGGTCTAATAGTAGCCAAGTTCCACCACTCAGAGTGGTCTATTGGTATCCCAAACGGCTTGGGAAGATCTGGTAGCAAGAGGAAGAAACCCGAGGTCATCATCAGGATGCTCTGCATACACAACCATTTAATTGAGGATACACCAAGAAGGATATACATGATGGGAAAGAGAAGAGGAAATCATTACCATGATTCCAGATCCTGTTATAATACTATGATTCCAGCTCTTGTTATAATACCCATTAGGAAATTGGGAACCAGAGAAGCTACAACCATCATGAGGCTCTCTATACACATAATGGGAAAACTCTAGTCGAAATTTCACCAGATAATAAGAGTGATTGCAACCAAGAATGGGAATGAAGAGAGTAAGTTGCAAATGATGAACACCGAAACTCCATAATCTTTATCCTTGTAGACCACCTGGGAATATTTACCATCCTTGTATCTTGAACTGGCGGCGGTTTGCCACAATAGTCATCAGATTGTCAAGCTCGACGGCAAATAGTTCACCAGCCCTTTTGTTCATGTCGACATCGACCTTCTTGTAGACGATGTTGGCAAAACGTCTACCGATACCCTTGATGGAGGTAAGGGCGAAACATGATCTTCTGCTTTCCATCCACGTTGGTATTCAACACACGCAGAATATGCTGGAACTCCTTATATGCGAATTGCGATGAGAGACATGGATGTGACCTTAGGGTTTAACGGCTCTTTGCTCTCTGTAACTCTGCTTGCGTGTGTGAGTTGTAGTGAGGGGCAAAACTGGAAACTCATTGTTTGGGCCATTATAATTGGACTGATCTAACATTGGGCTTTGTCCTAACCATTAAATAAAGTTAGTACATGGTTTTTGGTTAACATTCAAAATTTTTAAGCCCTTATCATTAATTTTCTCTTTTAAATTGGCCAATATGTGACCACACACACACACGTGCAACCCTCACCCTCTCATTTCTTCTTGAACTCTCTCTCTTTCGTCCATATGACCCGAGCCCTTCAACCTTCAAACACCATCAGATTTTATAGATTGAACTCAAGGTTTCTATAATCATACTTCTCTCGAGCGCTAGAATCTTGTGGTACCATTTGTTATGTGGGTTGATCTCGAAAACCCCGGAATTCAGAAACTCCAGCGAAGAGCTAAAATAGCTTCGAAATGATCGTGGGTGATTCACTTGGTTTTGAGGCTTAGTAAGGTACTCACTCAACTTCCCTAGCATTTAAGACTAGTTTTGGAGAAGTTTGGACGTCGAAATAAGCACGATCATGGAATTGTAGAGTTAGTCGGTTTTTCCAAGAAATTTTTTGGGCGTTTTAAGTCGGTTTTAGGACTTCAAATAGGTATGGTTGTGTTCTAGACTTCAAGAGCTTCAAATCTATATAAATTTCATGAATTTTGGTTGAGAATTGAGGGAGATATTAAGGTTTTAAGATTTTCCAGAATCCGGCGTTGCATATGTCAGCCGACGGCGGCTCCGGCGAAGACCACTGGAGAAGACAGAGAATATTTCGTCAACTTTGACAGAATATACTAACGACGTGAGGTAAATCTAATGAAATATGTTTCTATTTAACGGAATATTCCCTAACGCCGTTAGGGATTCCGTCAGCGTGCCAGGCACATGCCTGCGTGTGGCCTGTGCGTGTAGCCGTGCCTTGGCCGGCGCGTGAGACACTAGAAATTTTTTCTAAAAATATGGGGATGCTCGTGGTGTTGAGTAAGCCACGATGGTATATTCAATCACCCCAATTGAGCAACGTATGAGAAGTTATTACACAGTTTTTGTTATGTACTTTCAAATTAATGTTAAATTAGTTGTTTCACATATAGGTGAGATGTTTTCGGAGAACGAGCGTAGCCAGACGAGACTCGAGAGTTATGACCCTGCTACATACCAGTGAGTGGCCTTTTGTTTTCTATATATACGTATATATGCTTTACGATTTCCAGAAATTGTTTTTAAATGAATTTACGATTTAAATGCCATGTCAAGGATGCATTATATTTTAGTAATTGCATTAGTATAGTTTTGCATGATATTGAATGATGTTGTGGAGGCCCAAGTAAACTTCAAGTGAGTGCATTATGATGATAGTGGTTGCATTGTGTATGGTTATGTGTAAATGCATTTAGAGCTCATTATCCTGCACCCCGGTGTCAGTGCTCCTGCCCAAGGCCAGGGCACAGCCTTCACGTGATCGTTCACCTCCCGCACCGCATGCTCACCTTGGATCCAAGTTTGGTGCCAGCCTGTTGTACATACCACATTAGGTGGTTCCGACTTGTAGGTGACCTACGATTCATTGCACAGCCTTCACGTGATCGTGGCACTTGAGCGTATCTATTTACACCCAGCCTGTCGTACAGACCACATTAGGTGGTTTTGACTCGTGTGCAAGAATTGGTAAATGAGCTATAGGTTTAGCCATACAGGTCACGTTAGGTGACTCCGGCTGACATATCAGTTTACATTGATTTATTTCATGGCTGAGATACTTGACATGGCATATACTTGGTTTTCACTACTCTTGAGCATGATTTCTACCTACATATGTATTATTATTTTCTGAGAAATTATACAAGTTTTACGGTGAGGGGTTATTATTTTTGGAAAAAGAAATGGTTTCAAAAAGCTTTGTTTTTGCCCGCTCACGTTTTCTATTTTGCGCTCCTCCAAGTTCTAGTTAGACGTTCGAGTTGGTGGCTTACGAGGACTCTATGACGGTTCTGACAAACTTCAATTAATGTAGGAACTTTATTTCATGTCCTGTATAATTAATACTTAGCCTGCTGGACTGCACTTAGGTTACCTATACTCTGAATATATGTATCTACACTTAAAATACCTTCACTCACACTTATTTATTTGTCTAGTGTAAGTTAGCTAGTTTGGTTTTTGTTCACCCACATTTACATAATACTATCACTTATGTACTGTGCACATGACTACGTCACCCTCACATGACGGCCAGCGTGCCTCGATTCCGGTCAGGGTGTGTCATTATAACTCTTGAGATGTTCGAATTTTTTCAATTGATCTGTTAGAATAGGTATAAAATTACCGAACTAAATCAATTACCAATGGTTTGGTTTGATTTGATTACAGTGGAGGTATTGATCAAAACTGAACTGAACTGCTAAAATCAATAGAATTATTTTTTGAGTCAAATCGAATCATGCTCA